TGTACAATTAAAGGTTTGCTGCAAACATTTTTGCTGCGGTGGGTTTTCTTTCTAATTAATGTTAATACGTATTTTGTCATATTTACGTTTAAAAATAAACAAAAACAGAAACATAACCGAAATTGCACAATTTGACAAGTGGAACCAATCAAAGTCATTCCACACAGGTATCGCGCGTCATTATATTGTGTCTTTTTCTTTATTGCAGAAATCTTAATAAACTATCCTTGTTGTTCATTGCATGAGAAAGGTCCATTAGGCAATTAGGGAATCCAAACCATGTGACTTTTGCCAACCAGCCGGCATTTTGAAATTTTTATGAGGTTAGAATACGGGTTGTTACATGTCAACGATGTCAGAAAAGTGTCAGATTGATAAAGCCTAGTACTCATAACCGCGAAATTCACCCTTTTTTGACATTGCTTGGGTAATTTGACGTTTGATTCATGCATAAAACGTCAAATTGTCGAAGCAATCTCAAAAAAGAGCGAATTTCGCTGTTATGAGTACTAGGCTTAATCCTGCCAAAAGAAAAACATATGTTTTTTGTTTATTGTTTGCCAACCAGACGCCATTTGGACAGGTCGTTGGATTGCCTAATTCAATCCATCTGTCAAAAAGGAAAATTCAATGTGACGTGGCGGCCAAGCAAGTTTGTTTTGAATATGTTTTTATGCGTATTTTAAATTATTTTGCATACAGTTTTGCTTACAACTTTGATTTTCATTATTTAATAAACTATTTTTTGACTAGGTACCTAAACTATTAATTCGGGCAGAAACTAGATATTTTTTTGTGTTTTTTGGCCCATGTGTGGCCGCCACGCCATCTTGAATGTCACGTGGTTTGAATTGCCTAATTGGTTGAAACGCCCTACCTGGACCAGTGCGCATGCATGGAGGACATTTGATAGGATGTAATGAAAATGACCAGTTTGTCATTTACTGCCGCTTGGATTTGGAAATGGTGTAGAGGCCGAGTTCGTTTTTGTCATCTTTTTCGTCGATTTGCTCCGAAATTTTGACAGGCACATGATTTGTAAATTGAAACTGTCTTATCTAGTCACGTGCCTGTCAAAATTTCAGAGCAAATCGACGAAAAAGATGACAAAAACGAACTCGGCCAGAGTGTTTTACACTGGTAAAATGTCATAGGAAATAGGCAATTCAATCCATCTGTCAAACAGGAAAATTCAATGTGGCGTGGCGGCCAAGCAAGTTTGTTTTGGATATGTTTTTATGCGTATTTTAAATTATTTTACATAGAGTTTTGCTTACAACTTTGATTTTCATTATTTAATACAATATCTGTTGACTAGGTACCTAAACTATTAATTCGGGCAGAACTAGATATTTTTTTGTGTTTTTTGGCCCATGTGTGGCCGCCACGCCATCTTGAATGTCACGTGGTTTGAATTGCCTAAGGAATGGCCGGTTTCCTACTGACAAAACTTCTACCTGATCCTACCTAGGCAAAACCAACATGATGGTTTTTCAACTACAAAATTTTGTGTGGTTAAGGTAAAAAACTATGGAGTTTGACAAGTGTCAAGTGTCACCTAAAGAAAATAAATTTTCCAAGTGGAAATTTGGCTTGTTTTTCTCGTGAAATAGTCCAGCCGAATACCACTCAAGAAAAAATTATGTAGGCAAAATTATTCTCTTGATTTTATTCAAGTTTGTTGCTTTTTGGTAATTTCGCTCATGAAATTTTTGACAAAAATGTCATTCGCGAAATTGCCAAGCAACAAACTTTCATACCAGTCGAAAATTTTGCCAACAAATTTTTTTCTCTTGTGGTATTATACAGGGCGAGATACAGGGTGTCCACTTAGTGGGATATCGGACGATATCTCCTTACGGGGTGATGCAAGAAAAAAAATTTAAATTACAAAGTTGTTTGATACTCTAATATTCATTAGTTAAAAAGATTTTTGAATATACAGGGTGCTCCGTTTATAGGTTAAGCGATAGAACTTTGTTATTTCAAATGGAACACCCTGTATATGATTGCATATTTGGATTCTACGTAAAATTCTGAGCAGATTTCATATAATATACCCTATACCTAAGTTCAACTGTTCTGGAAATATTGACAGTTGAAAATTGACTTCTTCTAACTTTGACAGACTATAAAACCTAAACGGTTAATTTTAGACGAAAACCTATTTTACATTCCTATCTTAGATTTTTATAAACTATTATTTGACATCAACTTTGAATTTAATCCATGATTAAAAATTCCAGTTAAATTTAATCTCCGGTTAAATTCAAAGTTGGTGTCAAATGATAGTTTATGAAAATCTAAGATAGGAATGTAAAATCAGTTTTCGTCTAAAATCAACCGTTTCGGTTTTACAGCCTGTCAAAGTTGCAAAAAGTCAATTTTCAACTGTCAATATTTCCAAAACAGTTGAACTTAGGTATAGGGCATATCACATGAAATCGAAATCTGCTTAGAATTTTACGTAGAATCCAAATATGCAATCACATACAGGGTGTTCCATTTGAAATAACAAAGTTTTGTCGCATACAACATAAACGAAGCACCCTGTATATTCAAAAATATTATCACTAGTGCATATTAAAGTATCAAACAACTTTGTGATTTAAACTTTTTTTCTTGCATCACCCTGTGAGGAGATATCGTCCGATATCGCACTAAGTGGACACCCTGTATATGATAATACATTGACGGTAAATCACCATAAATGACAAAAAATTTCAAAAATGACAAAAATATGACTGCCACTCCTCTCAAAAAATAAATGACCGTCATTTTACATCCTTATTTGCAAGACGATTGGAGTAGGTACTGTAAATCTTTGGCTAACTTTATAAGGTTTCTGTAGATTGAGCAGTAGTTGTTGAAGTAGGTGTGAAAGTGTGGATTATCTGTGAATTTTCTAATATACTCAAGATTGCGAAGATGCTTAGACGACACCTTAAGTCCTCTGGTAAACCAGGATTTTTTATTTGTTAATTTATTCAATTCTCCTAACAGAAAATGTTCTTTAATTTTTTCAAGCTGTCAATTTGGTCTCAGGTCAAAGCGGAGTACAACCATGGCCATTATGGACCTTGTGTCCACTGTCATGGATGACTTTGAGGAGGAAAACTACAACATAACACAGTTCTTTGACCTCAGGAAGGCCTTTGATGGTGTCTCCCACGACCTCCTGTTTGACAAACTATCGCTATACATTCTCACATTTCCCTCAGCTTTTATCCTTGAAAACCTCTTCTATGTCAGAGGTAATAGAAGCAATTTTGACACGCATCATCATAACATACAGTCATGAGCATCAAAAGTGGGACACCCGTTTTTTCCTATTGTAAAACGAGTTCACCAGCTATACCCTATTAGGCAATTCAAACCACATGACTTTCAAGATGGCGTGGCGGTCACACATGGGCCAAAAAACACAAAAAAATATCTAGATTCTGCCCGATTTATCAGTTTAGGTACCTAGTCAACAAATATTTTATTAAATAATCCAATTCAAAGTTGCAAGCAAAACTCTAAGCAAAATAATTTGAAATACGCATAAAAGCACATTCAAAACAAACTTGCTTGGCCGCCACGCCATATTGAATTTTCCTATTTGACAGATGGATTGAATTGACCCTTTGTTTAGACGCCATATTGCGGTGCGCGAACATAGTTGCCAAAAGAAGAAAACAAAAATTGTTAGCGGGCTGCCAACATCAAAAACCCAGAAGTCATTTATTTTAATTTGTCAAAAAAAAATGAATGTGTCACATGAACTAATCTACGACAACCCTTTACTCCAAGTTGTGACGTATTCGATAACAAAAGTATGAACCCTCGAGAAACGAACCTTAGGGCCATATTCTCTGTAGTTCATAAAGCCTGGCTTAGTGGAAACGCTTGGCTTTTTGTGTGACAAAGCCGAGCTTGAATTTTTGTTTTCTTCTTTTGGCAACTATGTTCGCGCACCGCAATATGGCGTCTAAACAAAAGGTCAATTGCCTAATACCCACGACAACGACAGGGATTGTCACAAAAAATCCATTGTAAAGAAAAGACCTATTTACCCAAAATAGCGAAGAATGACAAGACCTGTTAGTCGGGTGTCCCACTTTTAATGCTCACGATTGTACATGACTATCCAACACGTTATGGAGGGGACTTCAGACCAACTTTTTGCCGCTTGACAAAATCGCAATGCAGGCCTGAATATATAGCTGTTAGGCTTTTCAACAAATTGCTAGTGAGTGTCAGGGAACTCTTACCAAAACCTTTTACAGAAACAATAAAGAGATTCTTGATTGGAAATAGTTATTTTTCAGAGGCTGAGTAGTGGCATCTCATGGTTATTTTTTTGAAGCTGAGTTTCTTGAATTCCCCAACAACATACTATACTCTTTTTTTTTAATTAAATCCTCGATTAAATCTATTTTGTATTTTAATTTTCAATTCAGCGGGTGCCTATCGTTTGTTCTTCTTCACCAGGTAGCACATAGTCGGTAAAACCTATCATAGTTTGATGAACTAAAAATACATAATCTATTAATGTGTAGACATTTACCTAATAACTGAGCAGTCAAACATTTCAGAACAAATAATTATTTGAACATACATAATCTCGAGCATAATCTATTAATGTGTAGACATACATTTTGACACACAAATTGCACATTTAACATGCATTTGTAGATTGAAAGATCTAACTGAATTGGTCAGTCTCATGGTTGCAGTCATGCCTGTCATAAAAATTCTCGTAAAAATTAATATCAAGGTCACCAGTCAATATTATAGTGTATTCCTAGGTATTTGCTAAGTAATCTACCTTCATGACGCAACAGGACAATTATGATAATTTTATCTATACTCGATGTGCAATTGAAATAAATAAATAACCTCAGCAGCAACTTGCTATTCCAAGTAATAACTCCGATAAAAAAATACCCACTTAAGGTAAATACTCGTTAGAATAAAAACTCAGATAAAAAGTAACTATATAGGCATAATCTTACCCAACAGGTCCGTGACATTTCATAAGATGCAACTTCCTCAGCGAAGGCGTTTCAAGATCATGGCATAAATTAAAAGTCCATTTACAAGTTAATCTGTAATAACCATCCAATAAAGTGATAAAAGACCACATAACAGATATTGAATGGAATTTGAGGTTTATAGGAATCCCATTTAATCTGCTTATTTCAATCGCCCCATCGTTTCTTATTGAAATGAAACCAAGCTCTTCTATAGTACACATTAAAGTCCATTGATCTTTTTTTGCTTCTAAACAATATCTGATGCCTGGATCTTTGATGTGTGGTGGTGATATTTTGATTACAATTGTGGCAAGGGTTCCATCTAAATCAGTCATGGCTTTGTAAGTTTCCGATAGGTATTCTGGAGCAATTAAATCCAGTTGGTTGATGTATTGTGCTTTGACAAAACTAGCATCCAGCCGAGAGTGTTTTTCTAATTGTACCAAATGATCGTGTATAGGTTTTTTAATGAAAAATGCATGCTTCTTTAGCACATCTTTAGGAACATATTTTTTGTACTCGCTTTCAACTACTTCTCTAGAAATGCCCTTTTCCAACATAACCCTATACATATCAGTTATGCCGAGGCCTAAAAGTTCTCTACGATATTTTTCATAAACCAAATCAGGTATTTTGTTTTCCAAAACATCATTACGCGCTTGTTGGAAATAATAATTGTAAGCATTGATATCAAACTTTTTCAGTTTTGACACATGAGCTACTTTGAATCTTATCCTGAAATCTAAATTAGCATTTTTGTCTCTAAATGAAGCATTGGGCATGAGATAAGTCGCTTTTCCAGTGACTCGTAATGCAAAAAGATGCCTGGCCAATGTACCAATGTTAAGATGTTTGCAAATAATAATACACACATCTTCGGCTGTTGTAGAAGCATTATAAGGTACTGTCTTGACTTTTTCATTATCTAATGCCAAATTTATTATCAAAGTGGGATCACTCATATTGGATTTTTATTCGGGGCACCTATAGGTAACGGGGTCATTAAATTTATTAATGCGATTTTTATCGTGTAATTACTCACTGCGTTACATTTTACACTATCAACTGACGTCAACTTAAAGGTTAAAACGATTTCAACAGTGTTTTTTATTTATGTTTAAATACTTAAATAATAATAACAATAATAAAATTCTGAGTCTAGCAGTCTATGCGTTCAAAACATAACCACTCACTAACCAAACAAAAAAGCTAAACACTAAACCAATGCACTAAACAGACACTAATTTGACAAGTGTCTGACAGGACCAATGGACAGGACTGAAGCATGCTGCTCCAAACCACTGGGGTGCGTTCAAATTAATTGTTGGGACTGGGGTGCGATTTTCGAAACCATTCGAGTCACAGCCTCCTACATTTAACAAGCCATGAAGTTAAAAAGGCAACACCGCAATCTTACCGCCAAGTGGTGCTGGTGGTGTTTGTTATAATAAATATATATTTTTTATTTTAATAATATGAATCACGAAAAATGCATAATTTATTGTACTAAAGGTCCAAAAACAGTAATTCAATGAATAATATAACTATTTGTGTAAATAAGAACAGTAAATAATTGATTTAAATGAATATATTTCTAGAGTCTAAAGTGTTATAGGCCTATGTTTCAGTATGTCTTTTGAAAAATCTAACTTAGGCAGGTCCATTCAAATACTTGAGCTGATTTTCGAAAATAAGAGGTACCTACTTTTAAGAGTTGGACGTTTCAGTTTGAACTCTCGAACTACGCCTTTATCCTTGTTTGTTTCAAATCTAATTATTTCGGTTTCTTCAAAATGTTCACAACACACCACAGAATTTTTCGTTATTGTATAATCTCGGGTATAATTATCTTGGTGTATTGCTTTCATCCACATTTTTTGCAATTCAGAATTTTTTTGAAAATGAAAATGTTTGCATTTCTTCAGTTTTTAAGGAAATCCTAATAGTTCGATTTGCACCCAGGAACACAGTAGTTTCATGGCATCTGGAACAAGTTTAAAGTTTAAATATCTTAGATAAATATCGAGACATATGCTCTTGCAGACAAATATTAATATTGTTTTTATTGTTTTATCTCACCTTACCTTCATTTTTGCTCCTGTACCCATTTGCTAAAAAATTGCAATCAAAGCACAAAGGAACAGGTATCAACTAAATATGGGCAATATATTGGTGTGTTTCTATCCACTTTTTCGTCAATAATGCCCACAAAAATACCAAACTGCAACAATACACAATGAAAGCAATACACAGAAACACATAACCCAATAACAAAATAGCACCATACGCGACGTTGCCGTCATTTCCAACTTCATGGCTTGTTAAGTATAGGAGGCAGTGATCGAGTACATTTCGTATACGAAATTTGACTGCTCCCCATTTAATTTACATTGCTGTCAGTCAAATTTCGTATACAAAATATACTCGAATGGTTTCGAAAATCGCACCCCAGGTCTGAGCAATAATAAATAATATCGTTCAGATTCTGCTCTGGGTCAGTTTTAAGTTTTAACTTCGTCCCGATGTAAGAGTCGCAGAACAATTTAAGTCTGTCTAGTACTCATAACTGCGAAATTCGCATTTTTTTGACATTGCGTTGACAATTTGACGTTTTATGCGTGTATCAAACTTCAAATTGTCGAAGCAATATCAAAAAAATGCGAATTTCGCAGTTATGAGTACTAGGCTTTACCAGTTTATCTCGGTGCGGTAATAGATAAAGAGGGATTTGCAACTCTCTCTGCACTATGGCAGCTATTGAGAACAGCTGTTTGAAGTGTTTGGATCATTGGAAGATGAAGAATGTCTTTTTTCTTTCACATTAATCGCAATGAGTGCGAGTGAGACAATTAATCCCACCGTATTGTTGGGTTGCATACATTAAAATTTGGCACACTAGCATAAAGCAGTGCGCCCGTTCCAGAGTGCTTGTTTAGTTCATTGGTATTATTAGCCTATCCAAAACACGTGACTAGGGATGTCAATAACCGGTAGTTAAAACCGAAAAACCGGTGTTTTCTCTTCGGTTAACCGGTTAATACCAGTTGTTTTTTGCCTCCAGTTATAACCGAATAACCGGGTTTTATACCTAATAACCGGTGAAAGTGAAAAAATAAACACGTAGACTTTTCTCTTGTTTCCATAACTTCAAATATATTGAATAAGCGACAACAGTCTTTTTAACCGATAGTGCCCGTGCCGATCTCTAGTATTTCAGTTTCGGTTAATTTGTTCAGCAGCTGGTTGATTTCCATCTTTCTCTAATGAACGGTATTGAAAAAAGACATGTACCATCGTCACCAAAACAGTGGCGACGCCAGGGTTTTATGTTAGGGGGGGCCAGGCTGGGCCAGAAAAAATTAGGGGGGGCACTTGTTCTTACTTTATTGCTTTTCTTCTTTGAAATAAAAAATGGGAATTGCAAAGTTTATCCGTATATTTTTGCACTCCACTTGAACTGCTTAATTGAATGTATCAAAAAGGTTTTTATTTGGATTTTGTATACAGGGTGTCCGTTTTTCGAGGACAACCATTGGAATATAGGAAACGGTAAGAGATACAAATTCGGAATCAATGGCCAAATGTGTTACTGCTTTTGGGAGATCAAGAAACTCCAAATACAATTTATAAAAATGCAAACCTCTATTTGAGAAAATAAAGTTGATGATGATCGGCAAAAGACGAAACGTCGGATTTCAAATTTGGTTACACCATAATGTAGAGGGGAGAAAGTTGCCCCAATAAAGTGAAGTTTATTTGAAATACCTTTACAAATGAGTCCAGGAAAATATAGAAATGGATTTTACAAAATTTTGATTCCCATGTATCTCCGGAAGTATTCGGAATTTTCCAAATTTCGAAGTAGCGTTTTGTTAAGCAAGAAATTGCGCAACTTTGTCCCAATTTCACCGAACCTGTATCTCTTACCGTTTTCTATATTCCAATGATTGCTCTCGAAAAACGGACACCCTGTATAAATAAATCTTCTTGATACCTATTCAATTAACCTTTCAGGGTCGGTTTCTCGATAGCTAGTCCAGGGTAAACGTGTCCAATTGCAATGTTTACCCTGCAGTTATGGTTAACTGCTCTGACCTGGAGGTGACTTGCTTGCTATTGAGAAACCGGCCTTTCAGGTGAGGTGCCAAAAATACACAGGAAAACCCTGTACCTGTCGACCCAAATATGTTTGGGGGAATCCCAGGAAAGCGAAAGCATAGTCGTGGTTGCCTGGCGCCCACCAAATATCAAATTAACCAGAGAGCAGAGGTTACGCATGTTGCATTGCATTGTTGTCGACATGAGGGCAAGTTTTCAGAGGGGGGCCAGCTAAATTTCAGGGGGGGCCTCTACCAAAAGTAACTGGGACAGCATCACATTAGCTCTTGGCCTATTACATGAATTCAATTGTCAAGTATTTGTCAAACTATGAATCAAATGCATTGAAATGAATGACAGTAGAATTAGTCCAGGAGATTATTATGCATTATTTGTGTCCCAGATACTTTTGGTGACGATAGTACATAATGTAGGTATAAAAAAAATACATAGTTGCGGCCATTGGAACTGGCACTAATTTTTGAACGCCAAATATAAGGCTTGAGGCGATTTTCAGCCTGGAATGATTATTTATCGGTAAATACCGTGGTTATTCTTTTGGTTGATAACTTTGACAGCTAAGTGTAACGTCATAGCCCCCCCACCATTCAAGAATCATAACGCAAGGAACTGACCGCTGAAATGATTTGGTTCTAGCAGTGTAGGATTATGTTTATTATTCTTATTTGTTTTTACGTTTCAACAATAGTTTTTTGTTTAGGTACAAAAAATGGAGCTGAATCTCTCGTTAGTCTGGTTTATCGAACAGTTTATTTTTGGGGATTTTCTAAACCTCGACCTAAACTGGTGAATTGCAGTGAGTGAGTGAATGTATACTTCTTTCATTGTGCCAGGCTACTACGCAACTGTAAAATCACAAAACACCAATACAAATTCCAAAAATAATAATAACATCAAAAAGCTGTAACCAAAAGATTAACCCAAGTCCAAAGCTGGGTTATAATCGGTTATAAGTGGTAAATACCAAAAGCAAATCAGCTGATATGTTACGTCACAACTTCCCCTACTTTGGTTAAAACCGCGACGGCGGAAATGCATTGGTTATAACCAAATAATAATCATTCCAGGCTGAAAATCGTCTTAAAACTGACACAATTTTGGCATTAACGGCCTGTTAAAAAAAGTCAAATTTTGATGCATTACAAGGTGCGTTCGACAATTTGTGCCAATTAGGCAATCTCAATCACGTGATTTTATAATGGCCGTTCGGGTGACAAGCCGGTGACGTTCACAAGGAGAGCATTTGTGTTCTGACCCTTGCTGCTTTCGAAGTGAATTTATGTGTTTCTACGTATTTTCCATTGGTTTTGGTCATATTGTTGTTTTCATAGTGAATTTTATAGTTTTTAGTATGTCTACGTATTTTTTAGTGTTCTGGCCCTTGTTTACAAAGTGAATTTTATAGTGTTTATAATGTTTTTACGTATTTTTCAATTTAATAATAAATTCTGAGATGGAGAGTGAATATATTAAGGTATTATTATTAAGGGAAAATCGAGCCTCTGTTAAATCCTTTCTTTTAATTGCAGCAATCCATAAAGCCCTGCGTTGTTTTGATAATTCACTTTTGTAGATCAAAAGCCGATGATTTAAAATAGCAGGAACTGAATAAAATTTCACATTAGCCCTGTTACCTCAACTTCCACAACCAATTACGATGCAAATCGCTGGCATTTTATTTAACACAATACCTAAACACACAAAAAAACACAAAATCCGATTAATTCAAATCTTGACGTTTGCTTGACCCAATGCTTCTTGACCCGAACTTCCATATTGAATTTCGTTTTTGACAGGTCAGTAGATTGCCTAATTCCAATGGCCGCAACTGTACATGTTAAAAATGAAAGAAGAGAAATAACCAGTTTAGAAAAGTTTAAGTATTCTTTGATGCTTTTTAACATGTAACAGTTTCCGATTTTTTTTACCATTAAAATATGTTGTTTAAGTTATGTTACCTACATTATAATATAAATTATGCAATTATTCTAATAATTATTCGGCAAAATAACCGAGCAACCAGTTAGCCGGAATAACCGGTGTTTTATATCAGTTATAACCAGTGATGTGCCTGTAGACAATGTCAACGTAAACAATTGATTGTCTACGTGTAGACAATTCGAATTGTTTACGTGGGCATTTGTCTACACATTGTCTACAGGTGACGTAAACAATAAACTTATTTTAGAAAATTTTAAAAAAAGTTCCAAAATTACTACTACCTAAGTAGCTTATACCTATCACTTTGATATTAGCATTCACTGATTATAAATATGAGGAAAACCGATAATAAAATAAAAATTATTTTCGAAAAGGAAAGTGTGAGGTTAGAATTAAACGTCATTTATATTATTTTACATTGTTGA